AAAGTCGATACGACCTACCCTTGGAGTTGTAGCCTACTAGGTACATTTTCTTGGCCCTGGCCGCCAACTTGTTCGACCGGGCGCGTACCTCTTCGTGCTTAAAAGCCAGCGACCCCCACTCGTGGATGTGAAACATCTTTCCGAGCGGCTTCCCCTGCCATACCTCGAGTGGTGCCTTGCCGCCCAGGACTTCGGTCCGGGTCCGATTCTTGAGGTAGATTGCAGTCATGAAAGCCTCCCCCCACAGCTGTTGAGGAAGGTGCGGTGCTCCCAAGAGAAGCTTGCGGGCAGTGCCGATGATGGTACCAAATCCACGCTCGGCGATGGGGTTCCCTTGCGGGACATAGGGGGGGCTATTCGTGAGCTTGATTCCGAGCGACTTACATAGCGCCAGAAACTTGCCCAAATACTCCGCTCCCCCGTCGCAGTGCACCGTGCCGATGCTCTGACCAAGCGGGTCGGCCTGGTCCCGAACCAGAGTTTGAAGAGCTTCGGCCGTTTCGTCTTTCGTCTTGAGTAGGTAGCCGAACCTCATGCGAGTAGCGTCATCAGTAAACATCACGGCACTCTGGCAACCCCCGTATGTAGCAATAGGATGTTTCCCCCACGTATCGGCATTTAGAATTTCCAGCCGAGTCTCCGAGAGGGGACGGTTAGACGGGGGGTGGCTGCCCTTCTTACTGTCACCAACCGCACAAACACCGCAGTCACCTGGTTCGATGTTGCGATTGAACCTGATTCCGGTAGTGTCCTTGTCCGCCAGCTGCTGCAGCGCTCGCGAGTTGCAGTGGCCCATCCTCTGGTGCCACAGGTGAGCGTCTACCTTCGTGCGATTTACTTCTACAGCGCCCAGGTTGACGGCGTCGATGATGACATTCAGCACGTACATGCGAGGCACTGCGGTCGAGATCGGAAAGACCTGGTTGCCCATGCGAAGCGCCGGCGGGGTAGACATCAGATCACACATCACCCCCTTCTCGGCCAGCGCTCCAACCGAAAGTATGTTCGCTCCAAGGCCCCGAACCAGCAGAACCTCCAGAGCTACTCGCACGACTTGGTCTTGATCATTGCGCACCCCAAACTTCAGGGTACCTTTCTTGGTTGCGTCGGATGTGCCACACGACCCGATAATGCGCACAGCGCAATCTACCGGATTGAGGACGTGATGGGACAAGCGAGACTGCTCATCCACCATGTGGCTGGACGTGCAGAATCAATGTAGCAGGCGGAATCATCAACGACCTGCGGTTTCTCTTTGTCCACCTGAAACACGCTGCTGAACGCAACGAGCTCGGTGTCCTCAGGCGCCTCCTCCGTCTGAGAATATCCGTTGGCAGCAGGGTCATAGACCACCGCTGCAGCAGGTGTGTCCAGTACCTGCGGGTCATACACAACGCGTGCATCCTGCAGCGTCGGCACCGGCGCGTCTTGCACCAGCGTGTCACCAGCAGCGCGCTCCTCTGGCTGCGCCGCAGCAGGCGCATCCTGCACCTGCACGTCTTTTCCGAACGAGATGGCGTAGTCCTCCAGCACATCGCCTTCAGTCTCCACCCGCGTGAACCATGCCTGAGTGGTGGAGTCTTGAGTGTGGTGAGTATCAGCCTGTTCAGTGGCTTCCTCCGCCTCGTGCCTCAGGCGGAGCGGGCAGTTGTGCCACCCGTGCTCTGTCGAATTATGACAGTAGCGGCAGCGCCCTTTTTGGCTCCGACCGGTGTCCTTGGCCCTTAACTCGGCCACCGGAGGCGTTGTTGCCGCGATAATTCCCGCGAGCACCTTGCGCATTTCCCGCGCTGCCGCCTCCAGCGTTGCCGGCCGATCCGCCGCCGCTGCTGTAGTTCCCATTCGACGAGCCGTTCGTCGAACCGTTTGTAGTTCTGCCGCCATTTCCTCGGCGACCACCACGACCACCACGGCCGCCGTGCTTGCGGAAGCCACGTGCCCCTCCGTGCGTGACAGTGTTCAACGCACGGCCGTGGCTGCCCGACCCATCGTCTTGGTCGAGCACTTTTCCGCGAATTTGCATTGCGTGGTAGAGTGTGGCACGACGTGCGACATCGTCAAAGCCTAGCGCACCGCTACCAACAGTGGTCGACTCTACCAACAGTACAGTCTTGAACGAGCCGTATTGCTTGTCGGGCAGGGCCTTTAGGATGGCATGTGCTTGCCGTTGTTTCACGACTGTGTCTCCGAGTTTGCCGAGTTCGTGAAAGATGCGGCGCAATTGTTGGATTGCGCGAGCCGGATCGTACTTGTCAGCAGCGGTGACCGCAACGGCGGCCAACTCATCGTATAGCTGCTGCATTCTGAAAGTGCCATCGACACGGTACTTTTGCTCGAGCGCTACAAAAGCACTTCGACCGTCACCGAACTCCTCGTCCCCGACAGGCCCAAACGACTGCACTACCTGCGAAGCCGGGCTCGAGTATCCTTCCGGGCAGTCCGACGTAGCCAGCAGAAGCCGCGTGTAGAGTTTGCCATTCTTTTCTTGGAACTTTTGTAGCTTCCTCTCGTACGTCGCGGTCGCTGCGGCGTCGGCATCCTCCGCCAGCGTGGGAGCCTTCTCCGCTCCAGACATGACCCGACCTAGGTCTGCCTCGTACATCAGCGCACGGAAAAGCGAGACCCAACCGACAAACTGGCCGGGTTCTCCGCTGAACGCGACATATCCGCGCTGCAGATGATTTGACGACTGCTGTTGCGCTGATGACGCCATTTGACTCGAGATGATTCCCTACCTCGCTATACGTGGCTCAAAACCTGTTGGGCGGTACCACAGCTGTAGTACGCTGGTTGGCGTATGTGGTAGAGGCTTGGTAGAGAAAACAAAAAGAGTGATTTATTATCCACACACAGACGCCTGGACTGTCTGCACCTGACGGTTACACTAAAACAGAATGCCTTCACAATACCGTATCAAACACATACAGCAGAATAGAGTCGGTCTTGCACAGCAAACACCCCAACAGTAAGCACCTTCCAGTTTGCACCTATTCAGCAGTGATTCATGAATAGCCCGTCCGTATAGGTAGATATTCAGGTATTTGACCTCCCGTCTTAACCATGCGTTCTACCCAAATTTTCTGAATAGTTCCAAACCGTGGTCCAGTGTACAGTACCGATCCTATGTGTCTCTCAGGTAGATTGTTCACCAATGCGGTGAGATTGGTCTCCTGAGTTATATCCAGCTTTCTCACGAGATCTCTAGCTACACGTGCTTCTTCTTGTTCCATTGCATCCACAAACTCCTTGCTCAAATACTCTTCTAAATGCACCAACTTCAAGCATGGGTTGAACCCATCTGAATTGTAGCCCAGAGATGCATCGCTTGAGATGAACCCCGATCCATTTCCTGATGATGCCATGGTCTTAATCGTCGTTCTTCTCGGTGGTCGTGATTGATCGTCTCGTCCAATCTTGGTTCTATTGTTGTTTGTTGTCCAGGTAGTGCTGTTGTCCAGGTAGTGCTGTTGCTAGGAACCTGGTCCATTGTACCAATATCACTAGAGGACACCCTATAGCAGCGGGGGGGTGTGTTGGGTCGCTCAAAACTTCTTCTGTGGTGGTGGTATCGAGTGTCGTTGTAGTGGCCCACAATCTCCGCAAATCTCCGCAAGTTAGATCGACACCCAGTGTCTTGTACTGCTTGTGCTCGCCGCCACTGAACCCAATCTTCTGAACTGCAGGTTTACAGCAGTAGCTGATGCCACCAGCTACTGCTGACAACCCGCAGTTGAGGGGTTTGCGGTCCGTGGTGGTGAGCACCGCTGTGACAAGTGTTGGGTTCCGCTTGGTTCCGGCGCAGATTTCGGACCGTTTTCAGAGGCTGCTGCGACCTTCGATATTTCAGCCCCAGTAGTATACCTGAACGTGCCAGCACGCACGACGCCTCTTGATGATATCCTCTACTGATACTAGCACAACGGACCAGGTTCCTCCGGCGGGAAGGTTGTTTTCTTTCTTTGTACTGTTATA